CCCCAAAACCCCAAAACCCCAAAACCCCAAAACCCCAAAACCCCTTAAATGTATATTCATATTGAATTTTAAACTATTTGTTCTGGGTTAAATCCAGCTTAGATGACTGAAACTGGGACACTGACTCGCTTATATCTGCTAATTTCTTCATTCTATCTTTGTAGGTGATATTATTTGGACTCATCTCATTACGTGCAGTCTTTAAGATGCTCCTAAAACCTGATCCTAATCTACTGAATCTCTCACTCTTGTCTCTAAATGGCATTTGATTCCATGCGGTTGATTCTTGACTTGGGATTTTTGATAAATTCACAATATTTTTATCACAAGAGGCTCAAGAAAATCCTCCTAGTGGTTTTTTACTTAGCATGGCATCATCTTCTTCTGCTTTTCCCTTTTCATTTGGGATAGTTAATAAGATTGCATAGAGGTCTTTGATCTGAGAGCTAACATTTTTGAAGCCTATCTTAGTTTCAGTCTTCTTCGAGAAATTTTTCTTAATGCTCTCAGCTAGCTCATTCATCTTCGCAATGATGTTATCTTCAAGTTCAGTGAGGGTTTCATCATCAACCTTTGTGTAAAGAATTTCACGTATTTCTTTAGCAACGGTTGATATATCTGCTCTGGTAATTTTAACAGCACTGGTGAGTTCTTCAATTCGAAGATTTACAAGATCAACTGAGGATAAATCAATCTCCTTTTTCTCCAAAACATTTAGTTTCTTCTTATTATCTCCTGCTTCCATCTCTAGGTTCTTAATGCATGCCTTATTCAGCCCTATAGCTTCATCGTGAATATGAATCTTCTTCTGAAAGTGAGGAATGTATGTTTTCTCAACAACTTTTAACTTCTCTAGCACAGTGCCTTGATGAGCTCGGAGCAGTTTACCAAGTTTATCATAGTTATCTTTCAGCATCGCAGTGTCAGAAATATTTTGATCAACTAGAGTCATCTCTGCTTTGCCAACTTTAAGTGATGATAAATCGTACTTTGCTTCCTTCTCGAAGCTTTTGAAGTTAGATTTCATTCCTTCAACAAAGCTTTCTAAATTCTCTATTTTCTCAATAATTTTATCCAGATCTGGAATCTGAGGGATAACAACGGGAGTCTTGTGTTTCTTGGGAACATCTGAAGGGGGTGCTATTCCTTTTCTAAGTTGGATATCCATCTGCCTCTCGAGGATTTTGACTCTTCCTTGAACTTCTTCAGCCTCATTGAGGATATCTCGAAGCCTACCATTCAGGTGATCTCTGTGGTCTTCAAACACAGATCTTGCTAGCCTAAATTATCACCATAATATATTACTTTTCTTCTATATCCTTCTCTGCCTTTGTAGCTAACAATCTGACGAAATCGTCTCTGTTAAGACCTCCTGTGGCAGCCGCTGTAGTTTTAAGGTACTTGTCCATGTTCTCTATAGTATTCTCAAGCTTTTTGAATTTTTCATTGGTGTTTTCAATAGATTTTTCAAGAACTTTATCATTTATTTTACCCTTTTCGAGCCGTTCTTCAGCAAATGCTTTAAACTCAACGAGCTCTTCGAACGTGCTATTTGCGTTCTTCATTCTCTCTAACGAGCTGGTCAACTCTATTCTTAAGAATATCTAATCTAAAGGCAGAATCAGCTTTGAAATTATCTCTCTGGTGTTTCTCATTAAGCAACTGTATCAAAATAGTCTTGAGGATACTGAAATCAAAGGAGATGATCTTGTCAATGTCATATCCAAGATTTGGCTCAAGATTTGCAGTCTTCTCATACTGCAATGACTTTGCTTCTTCCTGACTGCTTAGGATCTGCTCTAAAAATTTTTCGTTTTCCTTCAACCCACTTTCAGACATGATATAAAATTTTATTTAGCTGCTGTTGGGGTTTTGGGGTTTTGGGGTTTTGGGGTTTTGGGGTTTTGGGGTTTTGGGGTTTTGGGG